AAAATATTTAAACGTATACATTTATTAGGTTAATAAGTCCACACCAAATTAATCAAGTAAAAAGAGAAAAATGTGTCCTCTTGAAAATTATGGGTATTTCATTATTACAACAATGTGAAAGGTAGAGTTGTTAACTAGCATTGTATGGTGTTAATATTTACTGATAATTAGATCTTACATAAATACTGCTATTAATATAAAAAGCTAACATATTATAGGGTGGGAAATTGCACTGAATATTAGTAAAAGATAGTAACAGCAAAGGATAAATTGATAAGGTCAATATTCAACCATGAAACACATAACACCCATATAAACTAGCCTATATGTTTTTGAAATAAAACATATATGAATTCCTCATTTATGTAAATATAAATCCACATATTGTTTTTGAGACAGGGTCTTGCTCTGAATTTCATTTAAGAACTATTCAAATATTGCAATTCAATATGAAAGAATTATTTTTAAATTGTCTTTAAATGTTATAGTTTCTATAAACAACCAAAGCATGAAGATCATGCAAATCCCCATTTTGAATCACCAGTGCATTTTTTTTTGCTGCTATTTATGTTGCTTGCCTTTATAAAAATTAGGTGAATACAGAAATTCATATTACTTAACTACTTTACTGAAAGCAATATGGTATAATTTCATATACCTTTCCTAGGAGGAAAAAAATCAGCGATTTTCTTATCATTAACATGAATCCATTTTTTGCATAATTGTCAGAAATAGCATTCAAATATTTATTATTTGAAAATAAATGTATAACGTATTTACTTTCTAAAAATCATCATTTAAATAAAAGATAAACTATTAAATGTTTATTTCTTACCATGGCAAGAACCCTCAACTTCTTCATATCCTGTGCTGCAGATGCACCTTCCAAGAGGAACCAGCCAATCTCCATCAGCCCCACAATACAGTTTAGGAGTGTCACGCTCTTCCGCACTCTTCACACAAGAGCCCCGTACTTCAACCAAAGAGGAAGAATCAACCCTCGGGATGGTATCAGGAAACATGGCCAAGTTCCGAACAGTGAAGGGGCACTTTTTGTAGAAAACTCTGACTGAAACCAGGGCAATGCATGCCCCAATGTCTTGAAAAGCCAGGTAAAATCCTTTTCTTTCTATAGGCCCCACCTCACGAATTTCAGTGTTGAGTTTGAGGATGCGATCACCCAAATCCATCTGGGTAAAACTCTCATCAGCAGCAATTGTATCAATCTTTGTATATTGGCTTGGCTTGAATTTAATTCCATGGGATTCATCTGATTCCATATAATACAGATTAAATGTTTCTTTGCAAGTCCCCAAGACCCATGGGATGCTGTTACAATCCCTCAGTGTGAACTTCATTTCCACATAAATTTTCTGAGCTGCATCACGGGAGATCCAGTTTGTCCGAAGCCAGTTGTTTTGGTTTGGTTCCATCACATTACATACCTGGTACGTATGAATGGGCCTATTGTGTTCATCCATTTCCGTGATGGCATCCCACTGCAAGAAGGAAAAAAAAGTAATTAAATTATAAAACCACAGTGGTTAAACAGAAATGATTCCTTTGCAATTTTTTCTTTTAACAAAAGAAAAATGATTAAAAATGACACAAATGAAGCTCTTCAAAGCAACAATGCAGCAGCGCTTTAACGAGGAGCCTTTGGTTAAGAGTGGGTTCTGGAATCAGCTGGACTGTCTTTCCTTCCTACATACTAACTGCATGACCAAGGGAAGTTTTTTTTTAATCTCCAGTTTTCCCAATTGTAAAAGGGAGTTAATAGTATAGGGTTGCTGTAAGGCATAAATAAGTTAAATATATATAAAGCATTTAAAATACTTTCCGGCACACCATAAGAACGGTCAATAGCATCCATTATCTGAACAAAAGTGCTAGACCCATGACAAATGCACTTCAGTTTTCCCATGTTTCCTCATATATAATTTGCCAGAAATTGAAGTATGTTTACTAATATTCAGTTAAATATTTACATGGCTATTTTGATAGCAAGTAGACATAGGAAGGCTTTAGAATTATTCAAGAAATATATATCATACAGCAGTTAACTAGCTAAACAAAAACTCTCTGCCTTTATGAGGCTTATCTTAGAGCAAGGAGAGACAATAAAAGTAAGAATGATTAAATTGAATAATATGGTAGAAAGTATAATGGGGAAAAATAAGCCAGGGAGATGGAGAAGAGGGTCACAATTTTAAATAGGGTGTCTAAAAAGGCCTTACTGAGATGGCGACATTTAAGCAATGTTTTAGAGATGAGATAGTGAACCTTGCAAAGAGGGAACAGTAAGTACGATACCTGAGGCTGGAGTGTACAGGTGTATGTTAGGAACAGTGTGAGTGGGCATTTGAAGCACACTAGATAATAAGGACAGAGAGTCAGAGAGGGGTCAAGAAAAAAGTCTTTATAAACATTTTAAGCACGTTGGTGTTTCCTCTGAGCTAGACTATTGGATTATCTTCACCTCTGCATGTTTACATACAAGCATTTTGCCACTTAATTTCATAGCAAGACCGTGTTTATCCCTGTTTTTAGAAATTTAATAAATATCTGAGTGCCTTGAAATCAGTTGATATCATCAGTATTTATATATTTACTATTGCATAATTCTATATTGTAAATTTAGGTTGTAATTGTATTTCATTTGTATACTTATATTTGAGGATTTTCAGTAAATGAAAAAAAAAACATTCTAGTGATCCTATAGCCATTTGAGGAAAATATATTAGTTATCATCACAGTTTATCATTTCTATAAGAGTATACTGGAAATGAAAAATGGTTTGCTATAGAGAATAAGTATTCTATGTCTTGATATCATACTTCAATGATTTATAATAAGATTATTTAACACATTCTGCTTGCACTTTCTCATTTTAATTGGCTGTAGAGAGTTACTCAATCAAGGCTGGTTGAATTTCAATTAGTATAGCTTCTAACAGAATGGCTACTTTCTTCACTACACAGGACTATTATGCCACTAAGTAGTTTTAATTATCCACTGTAAATTTCTACAAATAATTTATATTATCCATGAAACAAACTTAACCACAATTTCTAACTAAAAATTTTATTTGTAAGTTGCTTGCTTGAAATTCAGAAGCCATTTCCCAGAAAAAAAACAAAACAAAACAATGAATTCCTTTTGAGCTGTGAATATAATTTTACAAAATACACTCATTGTTTAACGGGCAATTCACTATTTTCATGGAAACATATATAAAATTGCCCATCTAAATACCTTTCATCCTAATGTATCGTGGATCTCACGTTACTCTCACGTTTAAATTTAAAGGCAAACCAGAGCTCTCACAGTTCATGTAGACTGCCAACTAATCATTCTGAATATAACTGTGAACTAAGATAATATTAAATAATAAGAAATATAATAATAAAATCTGGGAACCATTAAAATCAATATCTAAAATCCTAAGCATTTTACTTATAGGAGAGCCTCTAAAGTACTCACCTACTAATTAATCTAATGTTGGATAAATTTCAAGTCAGACTTGATTTTGTTTTTCAGGTAATGCAAATATGCAGTTATTATTGTCTACACTACATCCTCTCCTATACCATACAGGACTATAGAACTATATTCCCAGTAAATTTTTAGAGTAATTGTATTTTAATATCTTCAAATTACATCTCTCTATATCAATTAAAGTATTTACCATGCTCATTAAATATTTTCTTCTAAAATATGAGATTAATTCAACTAATATGTGAAAAATTGCATCTTGTTTGGAAAAAATAATTTATGAAATTATACATTTCTTTATTTAAAATTTTGTGGGTGTTGGGGGGATGTTTAGGTGTAGAGAAAGGTCAGGAGTAAAAAAAAAATGTAATATGTATTCACTGACAGGACTGATCTAAACCAAGGAATAAAGAAGTATCCAAATATACACACATATGTGAAATGTGATTCTTCTCAAAGATAGTGCATAAGGATACTTAAAAAATAATGAATCATTTCCTATGTTAAATTTGTGATGTTTGATGAACAATAGTGTTTGCTCTTTCAACAAAATAATGAATCATTTTCTATGTCAAATTTGTGATGTTTGATGAATAGTGTTTGCTCTTTCCTCTTCTTTTAAAAAAAGGGAAATCAAAATTAGACTCAGGTACCCAGTCAGAACAAATCAATTGGTAAATTTCATCTTACCAAGGGATATAGAAATTCATTTATATTAGATATATCAAATTGAATCTAATTGTCTAAAACAAGAATATAAATTCAAGAGTGGAATAGATTTAAAAGGCCATGAAATTTACTATAAAAATAACCAGTAGATGTAGAAATTATAACACAGTTTAGACATAATGTTTCTTTTGGAAATATTGCATTTATATATACAGTTAACCCTTGAACAACACAAGTTTGAATTGTGCAGGTCCACTTATATGAGGATTTTCTTCTACCTCTGCTATCCCCGTGATAGCAAGACCAACTCCTCCTCTCCCTGTTCCTCCTCAGCTTTCTCAACGTGAAGGCAATGAAGATGAGGACCTTTACGGCAACTCATTTCCACTTAATAAATAGTAAATATATTTTCTCTTCCTTATGGTATTCTTAATCACATTTTCTTTTCTCTAGCATACTTTTTTTGCAGGAATACAGTATGTAATACATACAACATACAAAGTAGGTGTTAAGTGACTGTTATCAGTAAGGCTACTGGTCAACTGTAGGCTATTAGTGTTAACAGTTAAGTTTGTGGGTAGTCAAAAGTTATATGTGGACTTTGAACTACACAAGGGGTTTCCCCCCCAACTCTCTCATTGTACAATGTTCACCAGTAGTTATATTTGTCTTTATGTGTATATAACCTTTAGTTGTAATTTTCAAATATTAAAATAAATAGGGCCACTAAAAATCTATGGGCCCAAGGCAAGAATGTGAGCATGTGGGCTTTCATACCATATGCCTAAATATTTTAAAATGATAAACTATTATTTAAATAAGATCAAACCTTAAATATATTTTATTTGCCTACTTTGAAAAGGTACTTTTATAACACTCTGAGAGGCCAGGTTCATTTTTAAAATACTTGGACTCTTTAGCATTCCATGGCAGAATGTGGTGGTCCATAGAGAGCCAGCCCCTATCCTTAGTCAATCCCAATCCTATTGTCTTCCCTGACTCTACCTCTATCCCATACCATGAGGGGTTTCACATATGTACATATATGAGCATCTCAACCCTCATGTACAAGCTGCATCTTTCCCTTGCTACAAAAAGCTGCCGACTTTGGTCCTCCATTCCACATAGGCTGAGCACATCAGGGCACAGTGCACCCATTGGAGGATGGGTCCCAGTAAGAAGCCATGAAGCTCCTGAAGGTAGATTTGAAACAATTTGAGCAAGGAATTTGGGGAGGTCTTGAATATCGATGGTATGGTATAGAAAGAAAGCATAAATTCCAAGTGGCATATTTTCTTATCCCTCAAGGTCATAGTTTTCTGAAGAGAAGGGTTACCAGAAGAGTATATGGGCAAGACCACCTAAAGCTCTAGGCAAAGAGCTGGGTCTTCCTTTCCTTGGATCTAAAGATGGTAATGATTAAAAATAATTTCATTTGGAATGGAAGATACTTTAATTATCCTTTAACAGCAAAGAGAGTTTAAAAATTTCTATGTTCTATATCATTATTAGGTGGTTAATGTAAACATTTACTCCAAAAAAACTTTTTACCACATAATTTGTCAATTACACATCATGTGTTAATAAGCAAACAACAATATTTAGCAAATTTATAGTACGTGTTAAGTTCCACAAGGAAATGAAGAAAAAGGATATAAAGTTTGCTCTCATTGGACTTATGTTAACATCCTTAAGTTAATAAATTATGAAACATAATTGATGGTACAGGTTTGAGTGTAAGTAACAACTAAACAGTATGTAATACATATAGTAAGTGATTAAAGGACAACAATACTCATAATTAGAGTGCTTTGGAAGGCTCAGTCAAGAAGGAGGCACTTGACTTGAACTTTAAATAACTGTAAGATTCAATAAGGCAGAAGAAGAAAAGTGAATAGATATTAATGTATAAAAAATAAACTAGGGTCAGGCGCAGTATCTCATGCCTGTAATCCTAACACTTTGCAAGGCTGAGGTGGGAGGATGGCATGATGCCGGATCTGAGACTAGCCTGGGCAACATAATGAGACTTTATCTCTACAAAATCTTTAAAAATTAGCTGGGCATGGTGGCACGTGTAGGCCTAGCTACTCGGGAGGCTGGGACATGAGGATCACTTAAGCTCAGGAGTTTGAGGTTTCAGTGAGCTATGATTGCACCACTGTATTCTAACTTAGGCAACAGAGAAACCCTGTGCCCACCCTGCCCACCTCCCCCAAGGAAAAAAAAAAACAAAACTAAGCTATATGCATATACTTTTAAGCAACTTTAGCTCTGTCATACTTAAAGTTCCTATTCCTACTTAAAACAAACACATAAATTATTCTCCAGCTGT